CCAGTGGTCGATCTGGAGCACGGAGCCGCTCTTTCCTTCCTGGCTGATCGTGTGTTCTGTGCACCTGGGTGTTGGGCAGGTGGGCTGATGCGAGCTTCTGGAGGGAGGATTGGACTTGAGCCCCCATCAGGGAATTGGAGTGAGGCCTGTCTTGTCTGTCCTCAGAGCCATTGTTGTAAAGGCTCTGTGTGTGACAGAGGAGGAGGAAGTAGTGGGTAAGCGCAGGTCAGGTGACCCAGGGGTGCACTTGTCTACTGTGGACAGGTTCTGCTTAGGTCACCTGCATCTGGGCTCAACTGAGACACGTGTCCCAACACAGACATTTTGAGATCACTGCTTTTATTTCAAGCAGATTTCTTCTGCCCCACCACTCCATAAAATTGGCATGGAAGAGTGCACCCTTATCAGCGTCCTTTCTAAATGTCAGGTTCTGGTCTGAGGATCATCCCTGTTAGATGAACTCTTGTCCCCAGGCCTGGAAGTCTGTACCTGTTTCCCCTCACCTACAGCCTTTGTCCCTGCCGGCAGAGCTGTGGGAGTGTTGTAGGCTCATCGTTGTCACCAAAGAGTGGTCCAGGATGCCCTTAATAGCCGGATGCTGCTGGTGACCATGAAGGGTAACGTGCTGAGGTACCTTTGGAATTTCTTTGCATTCCTCAGGAGTCATATTTCCACATGGCATTTTCACATCCTTATGTGACGTCTGGAGTGGTGGTGGCCATCTTGTGACCGGAGGACAGCCTGAAGTTGATGGAAAAAAAAGAAAACAGGAGACTCATTCTTTTTTTCTTTTTCTTTTTTTTTTTTTTTTTTGGTTTTTCTCTGGTACTGGGAACCGAACTCACTACCTTGCGCTTGCTAGGCAGGCGCTTTTGCTGCTGAGTTAAATCCCCAGCCCCTAGGAGACTCATTCTTGATGTTATCCTTGAGCCTTTGATGTTATCCACCCTGGCACCATCCTGTCCTTGGACAGCTGGCTATTTGGTTTATTTTTAAGCTGGGTTTTTTGTACTCATAGCTGAAAACACTCTGTTACACAGAAATCATTTTCTGTATTGATATGTACTTAGCCTTTGTGGAAGATCCTGGGCTGAGATTCCCATGGTGAGGAGGATAGACTTTGTCCCTTTTTTGCTCTGTGAGTCCTGTTAACTTGTGTAGTGCCTCTGCCCAGCAGAAAGGATGCTTGGAGGGCCAGGGTGGATGCGTTGGTCTTCGGGGCCCTGTGCTGTGTTCCTAGGAGGCATGCATGAGTGTTTGTGGAGACTGTGCTCTCCCATGTGGGGTGTTCTCTTTCATGTGGGCCATGTTCCCTGGAAGTGAAGCTGCAGGGCCTACTTCTATGGTTTGTTGTATCTAATGGATAGTAAGGGCTTTCTTTAACCGGGCTGTGGACCGAGGTCTTCCAAACTTTGGAATTAATCTAGTACACAATTAGCATCTTGCCTATAGCTGGTATTTCATTAATTTACACAGGCATGGCCAGCCTGCACCCCATGCCCAGGGCCTCGGACATGGTCCCCTGAGCTGTCTCTTCACATACTTGGGTGGCAGCACATTGAGTACTTAGGGTATTTTCCTAGAGTCATTCTTGGGAACTTGAGGACACCATCCCGCCCCAGGGAATTACCTGCACGTCACCAGGCAGGGTCCAAGGAGGTCTCCAAAGCAGGGCGGGGAACCTTAACTAACTCCTCCCATAGGATAGGTTACAGGTTTGCTAACTTCCATCACAGGAAAAGTTTTCAGGACATGCCAGTAAGAGGCATAAGGGGGTTTATTAGCAGAACTTTGCAAGTACACACCCAGAAAAAGAGTGCAGGCCCTCAAAAGGGAGAGAGGCACGTTATGGGCTCAAGCTGTATAATTTATGGCATCTGAGAATAGAAATCTGTGGAAATCGTGACTGTCTGGGAAGAGGGGATTGAGTTTACAAATGAGAGGGAAGGGCCCATTCATAGCTAACGACCATCACAGGTGACAGCTGCAGCCCGTCCATCGTCCATGGGGAAGGCCCTTTTTATAGGCAAAAAGGCCAATTTATAGGTGGAAGGAATGAGCCAGACTAATTGTGTCATTAAGGACCTTAGGAATTTTTGACTGGGTTTGTGTCCTGGAAGTACAGTTTTTATTAAAAGTATAACTGGAAAATTATGCTTCTACTTGTCTTCTGTTTATCGTATTTTTCTGTCCTGCCTCCCAGATGCCCCTTCTTTTCTGCTGGTCTCCCAGCCTGCATCCCATGATCGTGAGCAAGACTGTGAGAACCGGCAGTGCAAGGAGCTCACCTTGGACTGTCCCTGGTCCCAGAGGGACGCGGGCCCAGTGTGAGCTGCTGGGCCCGATAGGAATCCTGAGGGCTTTGCTTCTTCACCTCACAACCTGCGTGTGCCCACAGCTTGTGTTTTCCTGTTCCCGCCATGGTGTGTGACTGAGACTGGGACTGACGTGACGGTGGGACCCTGCAGGCCGCTCTCTTCCTCTTCTTCCTCGCCAGCCACCTCTGCTGCTGTCAGGAGGAGGAGAGACGTCTGCCCCGTGTACTCTGCGGGCATGCTTCTGCGTGCTCCTGTGAGGCTCCAGCGAGATGGGAGATGTGTGAGTGACTGTTAGGAGAGGGACTGGTGTCTTGGACATAGCCTGTGGCTGGGGCTGCTTCAAAGGGAGCCTCAGACAGAGCGTCTCCAGCCAGGAGCCTGGAGCCAGCTTTGATGTGGGCGGTGCAGGAAGCAGCCTGTGGACACAGAGCTGGGGTACTAATGGGCTCGAGTGGGTCCGGAGTGCCGAGCGGCCTGTGCAAGTCAGGGCCAGCGCGTGGCTGTGCCTTCCAGCCGTATGTGCATTTCGTCTCCCGCAGGTGTCCCCGTGGAGCACATGTCTAGACAGTGATGGAGTAAAAAGCTCAAGTACTAGCAGGAATTTGGCCAGCTGAAGTATGTATAGCTGCTGAGCCCCACGTGGATGTGAGTGGGGCCGAACGGCCTGGTGCTCGCACAGCCAGCCAGCACCTGCAGGGAGCGGGGGCCAAATGGCCCCCCAAAGGCAGCTTGACCTCATGGCGAGCTGTAAATCTGGCCTGGCTGACATCTCGGCATCACGCCACTCCTTTTGCAGGGATTTCTGCCTATAATTAGACGTCTGGAAATTACAACTCCTGCATTCTGGGAGTCCAGGTTTGATGGCTGGGAAATTTACTCTTTAGTTTAGCCAGGTTGCTCACTGGCTATGAGAAGTCCCTCTGTTTCTGAGCCTCAGTTTCCACATCTGTAAAATGAGGGGAATTGTGCCCTACACACCGAGATTATTGGGCTTTGTTGGCTGACAAGGTCCTTTTTTGCTGACAGGCAAAGTGTTCATTCCTTTCACACAAATTCAGGGTTTATATGATAAGACCCTTTCCCCTGCCATAGGTGTCTGCTTGCTTCATTCTGCCTTATTTCATAATCTGTGACACATTTGAGTGGAATAAAAACTTTTAATGAGATGATAATTGGAGCTGCTCTCCAGTGCAAGGGTGACTGAACCTGCACTGTGTAGCCACATTTCCTCCTGTGTTGGAGTGAGGGCTGCTCTTTGAGGAGACTCTGAGCTCTTCTTACTGGCGTTCATCTTGTCCAAGCCTGTGTGGTCCCCCGAGTGTGAACAACTTTGCTATACTTGAGCCAGGCTTCTCCGTGGGGTGCTCTGAGCTTGTGATGTCTGCAGTCAGTGTCCCCTGGAGGTCTGGCCCTCCCAGGACAATGAGAGGCAGCATGTGGGCCTCAGTCCCTTCCCCTCTGCCGTCACAGCTTCCTACAAAGTGTTTGTCTCCTTCGCAGCATCTTCTGGGCCTGAGCTCAGACTTCAGAACTGAAGACAGGGACAGGGTTGTCATTAGGTCTCTGCAGACACAGAGTCTGGCTTCCTTCCTAGGAGGCAGAGGCAGAGGCAGAGGCAGAGGCAGAGGCAGGAGGCTGGGCTGGGGCGTGAGCTAACTGCTGATTAATATCTCCATGATGAGTCCTGCCTGGAGCCTCGGACCTGGTTCCCAGGTTGTGGCTGAGGTGTGTCGGGGCCACCATGCTGGGTCTGAGCTTGACGTCAGCAGGCACCTCTCCGTCTTTGGATGGCAAGGCCAACCCATCCAGGCAGCTTCTGTCACCTGTCCTTTTGCCTGCCCCTAGGGCCAGCCTAGAGTGGCTGAGTGCACATCAGCAGGCTGCCCCACCCACAGGCTGTTATTGCTGAAGTCATTCCTGGCAGGGGCTGCTGGCTCAGGCCCAGGGTAAACATGTCCCGCTGAGCTCTCTGCGTGCCATTGGACACTGAGGAGTGCAGGGCTGTGTGGGGAATGCTGCAGGGAGGGAGCAGGCCGTCAGATCTCACCATGGATGAGGAGACCCCCAGCCATTCTACCCACTCCCAAAGCTCCTCTGACTCCTGGATGGGCTTGCTGAGGTCCTGATTTATTCTGAAGAGTTGTTTGGGACTCCTGGCTCTTTGTAGCTTCCATAGACATTGGGGATGGGGCTCCTGGGACTGGTTCCACACAGCAGTACAGCTCTTTGTCTGAAGGCCTGCCCATACCCTCAGGACTTGGGAGGCGTGCGTGTGAATAGCGGGGCGGAAGTTCTACAGACTCAGGATCCTTCCTAGGCCCTTTGCTCTCTGAAACCATCCCAGGCATGCTGACCCCAAAATCCATTCCATGGCCCTGTGTCATCTGCCCTGGAGGTGTCAGACCAAGTCTGTGCTGGTAGCTTCAATGTGATCAGACCCTAAAGTGACCTCCTGTCATCTCCCCTCATTTTCCTTGATGTGCATCCTCAGTATCTGCGCCTGGAGAGCTTCTAGTATGGGGATTACAGGAGACTTCTAGGCCCCAGGAAACGGATGTCATCCATGAGCTCAGTCCCACAGGGGCAGGTGTCTCCTAGTGGTCCCTCACTCCGTAGCATTCCATTGTGTCTGTGCACCGGTGCAGCTCGTAAAATCACACAATGCTGCCCTTGTGGTTACAGGAAAAGCTGCCTGTCCTGCTGCTCGGCCGCTCCTCGGAGCTGCGGCCTGGAGAGTTTGTGGTCGCCATTGGAAGTCCATTTTCCCTTCAAAACACAGTCACCACTGGGATCGTCAGCACCACCCAGCGAGGTGGCAAAGAACTTGGGCTCCGGAACTCAGACATGGACTACATCCAGACAGATGCCATCATCAACGTGAGCCGCCTGCTGTCCTTTTTCCCACTAGCTGGGGCTTGTGGCAGGTTTCTGCCAGAGGGAAGCTAGACTTAGGAACTGGGATTGAGTTAGGGTCTTCATAGTATTGTCAAAGGGATTCTCTTTGAACCCCTAAAGCAGAGGACACCAAAGGTTGTCAGCATCTCAGTAGCAATCACTGCAACTCTTGTAAAGGGAACCTAAATTTTCTAAGGGCTGTACTGAGAGGAGGTCCTCTGTCCTACCCAAGCAGGCGTGATGAGTCTGCTGGCCCCTCAGGCACACACTGAGGACATGTGGCGCCGTCCCTTTCTGGCAGGAAAACTCCCTGCGCACACACCCCTCCCTCCAGGAGGTGTGAGCCCTGCCTGTGACCAGAGCCCTGGGCCACAGGCAGAGCATTAGGCCGACACCATGCCATGTGGCTGCCTTATGAAGCTGGGAACTGTTTCATGACATTCCCTAATTAATCTCTTGAACATCTTGTTTCTCCACTCCAGCTCTTTCCCTGAAGGATTGGTGTTTCTGAGAAGCAGTCCTCCCCCTCCGACATCTGTCTAATAAATAAGAAACACTGTGTTTTGTATACTTGTTGCATCTTCTAGCCCCCCTGCCCCGAACTTATTTGTAATCTGCTTCAAGTCTGGGAACTAGAGTAAACCGTATGGATCCCAGCCCCAGCACAAGGCTAAGGTCCCTCAGAGGGGGTTGTGAAGATTGAATACTGTGATCTTGGAGCAGGTGGGTTGCCAGCCTCATCCCAGGAGAAAGTGTTAGGTCCTGTCAGGCCTCTGGGCTTCAGAGCCAAAAACTTTCCACTTATGTCACATCTCAGACTTTCGGAAAATGGTGAGGTCCTTTTTTTCCCAGCCAATTATTGGGTCAGCAGGAACAAATCTGAGGGAAGAACCGTACCCTATACTCTAGGCACGGCTCTCAGAATGCTGCCGAAGAGGAACATAGATTGGACCGTGTTATGTCACAACTGTAACATTCTTATTTCTGTTTAATTTCAGTATGGAAACTCTGGAGGTCCCTTAGTAAACCTGGTAAGGCCTTTCAGTATCTGTGTCTTCTTGTTTGTTTCCATCTGTGCGCAGGCTGCTTTGTTTTCCTTTTTTTTTTCCATATGAGCTTGCCAAAACACATTATCTAATTCTTTAAAAAGGAGCTCTGGGATTGCATTGTCTCTTTGCCTATCACCCAGTGGACTTTTCTAGAAGGAATCAAGGGCTAGGAACATTAGATCAGAGCTACAGGTGAATGCCTTGGAGTTCAGGTCCAGTCCAGGCAGAAGGGGAGCAGCAGTGCTGTGTGCCTGCAGAGGGACGGTGACTCCTCCGGACCAAGCCTTTAAGGCAATGAGGGGAGAAGAGCTGGCCTGGCTCAGCCACACACTTTCTTGGGGTCAGGGTGCCTCTCTGAAACATCTGGAATGCAGAGGAGTCGCCACTTAGAACCCATCCTGGGATGCTGAGGAAACTGAGGCTGTCTTTAGCATGACCTGTGATGTCTTTAGCAAGTGCTTGCTTTCCCAGCAAAGGAGCCTCAGCTGTGCCCCTTCCTGACCCCCGCGTCCCCAGCCCCACCTTGCCCATAGAGCTGCCCTGTCCTGGCAGTGAAGCCCGCCAGCCTTGGGCTCTGGGGTGGTTTCTCCCGGCCTCAGCAGTGATCTCCCGGCCGCTGGAAATGGAAGCACTGGAAGCAGTGGAGCAACTCCTTAAAGACTGAGATTCGGGAAACGTATTTTGTGTAAAAGGAGCAAATATTGGATCTTTTGAAACCATCTACGTACAGTGAAGTGACCACTGGGTTCCAATCTACAGTGTTTATCAATTCTTTGGAAGCCAAGCATAGCTGTGGCTGCCCATGCAGCCTGATATCCTCTTCTGCCACCCTGGGACCTCCTGCCAGTCCCATCACATTCTCTGATGTAGCCCACAGACTTCTTTTTTTATTGTTTTAATTTTACAAATTTACGAGGTGCTATATGGTGATTCAAAATATATTTATGCATTGTGTAATGATCAAATCACAATCGTTCAGCTTTCCACTTCCTCAAGCATTTTTCAGAGACTTCTTTTGTGTAAATTCTCTACTTTCTGCTAGTGTTCACCTACTGCTACCCTTCCTAGATTCAGTGAGCCATGTCCATCTTGCTTTTCAGGATGGTGAAGTGATTGGAATCAACACTTTGAAGGTGACAGCAGGAATCTCTTTCGCAATCCCTTCTGATAAGATTAAAAAATTCCTAACTGAGTCTCATGATCGGCAGGCGAAAGGTGAGCAAGGGGGTTTGGAGATTCAGTCCTGAGGCTTAGGTGCCCTTTGGAAATTTGGAGAAGTGGGTGCCTACGCAGAACTGAAAGGGAGCCAGGTACAGTGGTGCACACTTGTGCAGGAGGATTGAAAGTTTGGGGCAACTTAGGGAGACCTTGTCTCAAAATAAAATTTTCAGAAAGGGCTGGGGATGTAGCTCAGTGTTAGAGCTCTTGGCTATCCTATACTAGGACCTGGGTTCACTCCAGCGCCAGAAAAAAAGCAGACAGAAAAAGAAGGGAGGGAGGGAGGGAAAAGAAGGAAAGGGAATGAATGTATAGTATAAGCCAGTGGTGGTGAACCTAGGGCACATGTGCCACAGCAGACTGTTTGTATCATTGAAAGCTGTAAAAGTTTCGCCATCACTGGTAAAAGCCCTTTTTAGGACACATTCGGGCATAGGTAGTTGACCATGTTTGTCATATGGTCAGGGGAATTTCACATGGTTCTCAGCCTAATGTGTACGAGGCACAAACCATCAGGACTTTTATGCCTTATTTCTCTTCATGATTCATTTGTATCACTGCATTAGGTAAGAATTATTTCATTCTGTTGATAAGAACTGAGATTCAGGGAGATCATTCATTCTGCAAATGTTTACGGTTCTGCTGTGAATCAGCCTGGGGACTGGGCAGTGGGCTGCTCTACAGAGGCCCCTGCAGGCATGATTTTTTTTTTCTACTGAGGGAAAGACTGGCAGTAAATAGTCTAACAAGATAATATCAGACAGCAGCTAGTGCTGCCAAGAAAATGAGGCATGGTGGATGGCTACAGAGTGACTGGGAGAGCTGACAGTGGAAACAGTATGGCCAAGAGAGGCCTCCCAAGCTGCAGCCTGGTGAGGAGCCAGCAGGTATGCGTAGGGCAGCATTGCAGACGGAGAAACAGTAGATTGGGTATAGACCGAGTGGTGTGGCCTTTCAAGTGGTCCATGGGGGTGGGAGGGCGGAAGCTGTGTGCATTACACAGGACAGGTATGGGAAGCTGCCAGGGCCAGAGAAGCAGGCTTACAGTAGGCCATGGTGCATTTAACTGTACTGGGAATAGAGAAGTTCGTGATCTGGGAGACGTCTTTGAAAGGAATTCCCTCTTCGGTACCAGAAGGAGGCTGCTGCTCTGTGTGTGTGTGTGTGTGTGTGTGTGTGTGTGTATAAGTTAGAGCCAACAAAGAGGCTTGGCCAGTCACCCAGACAGAGGTCCCAGGGTTTCAGGCCAGGGCGGTGGCAGTGGAGTTGGAGCAAAGGGGTCCCATTCTGGATATCTACGGAGCCTAGAGACAGCCTGGAGAAGGGCCAGAGACCAGGATGAGGCTGTGAGAAACTGGGGTCACTCCTAGGTTTCCGGCGATTGACTCAAATGATGAGACCCTTGGAAGGGCTCACAGGAGGTAGGGATCTAGACCAGGACTGAACTGCAGCCTCAGTTTGTCCCCCTCGGGTCCCGACTGCATGCTGCAAGCTGGAGTTTTGGGACCCCTGGCTCTCTGCCACTCCCACCAAGTGGGGTGACCTCTCGTCCCTTTGTTGTCACACCAGGCAAAGCCATCACCAAGAAGAAGTATATTGGTATCCGAATGATGTCTCTCACATCCAGGTGGGTAAATAGGACGCGCGTGTCTGCCCTACACTCAAACCTGAACTTCACAACCCCACCCCCAACCCGATAAACTGTGCTTTCAGATCTTGAAGCTTCTGCTAGAAATTAAGGCTCACTGGGAAAGAAGAGGGGCCATTGGGCTTGGTCCCTTTTGTTTTACTCTTCGTCTTTCTTTGTTTTTGCATCTGGCCACCAGGAGGGTTCTACTGTCCTATCGGAAGGCAGGCCTGAGCTGCAGGGGCAGGCGCCCTCGAGCTCCCTCACACCTTCCTCCCACCCCTTGTTCTGTTGAAACCCACATTCCGGCAGTGCCCCAGTGGCTGCCCAGCCGTTGGAGCACCTGCTTCCTGCAGGAATGCCAGGACAGGCCCCCTGACAGCCGCGATGACTGATGGGCTTGTTTTCCTGAGCTGCTGGAAGGCACTGCCTGTGGTTGCCAGGCCGTGACATACTGCAGTGTGAGCCTGGATGAAAAATAGAGGGTGACGTCACGAGTCCTGGTGACCGACCCAGCTGGCATGGCTGAGCTGTCCTAGGCCAAGTGGGTAAAGAACAGAATATATTGACAGATACACTGCTGTGAATTATTGTAACTACTAACTAGTGTCAAAATGGTGAGACATTTAGATACACGCTATGCATGGTGGTACCTTTCCCAGTATTCCAGAAGAGGGGATGATTTGCCCGGAAGAAAGCCACATAGGTTGTTTTTGGAGCCAGGAAAGATGGAGGTGTAGGGAAGGAGGGTGGGCTCTGGGGCTGGGTTTCTTGGGGTGTTCTCCTAGCCTTGTGCTTCCTGGCTGTGACTGCTGAATGCTCAGTGTCTTCTCCAGAATGACAGTGACAGTGCAGGTTTTTGGATCAGCAAGCAGAGGCAGTGATGACCCGTCACAGTAACTACCAGGTGCTTACTCTGTGCCAGGCACTGGGCTGGGCACCTTACCTAGACAGCTCCATAATAACCCGTCCTGTGGAGCACTGGTCCCATTTTGCAGCTCAAGAAACAGAGACTCAGAGTGGTCAAGCAAGTGCCCAAGGTAACACAGCTTGCAAATGGCAGATATATGGCTGTAAACCAGGCCAATCATTTATATTTTACTGGTCCTTCAGTGGTAGCTATTATTAACTAATAATAAATAATGATAATACCAATTATGATTGAAGTATTTCTCCACTATTACATAGTAAACCTTTGACCCTAAGAGGCATGCAATTTTAAAGTAGAATCAGAACTCTTGGAGGAATTTTACACTGAACTTGGGACAGGAAGGGAATGTCATGAGAGCCAAATGTCAGTAGAGGAAAGACTGTTGGTACTTAACATTAACACGAATACTTTTCCTCCTGAGCAGCAAAGCCAAAGAGCTGAAAGATCGCCACCGAGACTTTCCAGATGTGCTTTCAGGAGCATATATCATCGAAGTAATTCCTGACACCCCAGCAGAAGCGTGAGTGAGAAGTGTCTTCCCTTTTCCTAATTTTTTTTTTTTTTTGAGACAAGGTCTCCCTGTGTAGTTCAGGCTGGCCTTGAACTCACTGTGTAGCCCAGGCTGGCCTTGAACTTGCAATAATCTTCCTGCCTCAGCCTCCCAAGTACTGGGCTTATAGGCATGCACCACCCCACCCGATCCCTTTTCCTACTATGTAGTAGGACAAAGCAGTGTTCTTTTTCTGTTGGTTCAGATGACTGTGTCCACTCCTGACAAATGTGGTTGGACGTTTCTGGTCACTTCTGACCAGCCTGGGCCCAGGGTTCATCCACAGAAGGCCTTCAGAAGTCCTTGTTCTGGGCCAGGCATGGTGGCACATACCTGTAAATCCTGGTTGCTCCAGAGGCAGGAAAGTCTCGATTCAAGGCCAGCCTGGACAACTGAGTGAGATCGTGTCTTAAAATTTAAAAAGATCTAGGGTTATGGCTTAGTGGTATAGTACTTGCCTAGCATGTGCAAAGCCCTGGGCCTGATACCCTGTCTGTCTGTCTGTCACTCGTGCACACACATGTATCCTTGCTTTGCTTGAGGTTATCCAGATGGAAAGAGCAATAGCAGGGTCCTTAGGCGTCTGGGTAACATGGCTGGGAGAGAGGGTTGATGGAGTAGTGTCCTCAAGACCTTAGGACCCATCTTCTCCCAGAGCCTTTTCTGTGTCTGTGACCAGACAGGCCATACCTGTCAACACCTTTAGAAAAATAATTCAGGTGGCATCAAAATAACATGAAAAAAGCACCTCAGCCAACAATCAGGGCTTGTGACCTATATTGACATAATATCCAGAGACAAGTGTAGAACTGGGGGCCATAATCAAGGCTTTGGGAGCCAGAGCTGGCCTGCTGGCTACTTTTATATACTTGTAGGAAGATAGTGTTTGTATTTTACATGGTTGGAAAAATTCCACAGTAACGAGAGTATTGTATGAGATGTGACAGTTGTATGAAATACAGATTTCAGTGTCCTCAGGTGTTTCATGGAACACGGGTGTACCCATTACTAACGGTAGTGATTTTGTTTTGTCATATGTAAAACGTAAAGTTACAGTTAGTAACATGAATGTCTTCTCTAACAGAAGCATTCTGCTATTCCTCTCTGAGTTGCACTACCCACTGTAAGTAGATTGGCCATGGTAATGGCATATAGCAGATGGTACTTGGTAGATCATTGCCCTCTTTAGGGATTAGTCCATGGTCATGTCACACAAGTGCCACAGGCATTTCTGCAATGGACACAGTTGATGATTTGGCCTAAATCTCTCAAAAGGAAATGTTCAAACTACTCTCTCCCAAGTTCATTGCCACCACCCAGCAAAGTTTGCTCTGTGCTTTTTGGTTCTAAGCCGTGCCTCTCTTTAATGTGAAGTCAGCTCAGGAGGAGTGGACATGTAACCGGTGTGTTTCTCTTTGTGTTGTAGTGGTGGTCTCAAGGAAAATGATGTCATAATCAGCATCAATGGACAGTCGGTGATGTCTGCCAATGACGTCAGTGACGTCATAAAAAAGGAAAGCACCCTGAACATGGTTGTCCGCAGGGGCAATGAAGATATCATGATTACAGTGATTCCTGAAGAAATTGACCCATAGGCAGAGGCATGAGCTGGATTTCATGTTTCCCTGAGACTCTCCCGTGGACAATGCATGAGAACTCTGGGCTGCTGGCAGAGGACACCCAGGACTTTTGGCCGCCATTTTGCTCATTCGGTGGAAACGCCCTGGCCAACAGAAGCCTTCTTGATAGTTTGCAGGCAAAACCAGTGTAATGTTGCCGATGTGCAGGCAGAAGCTCCGCCCTACTGTACCCTATGTATGCAGCGCGCTTTTTCTTGCCAGCTTGGGCTGTTCCTGCTTAGTCCACATTTGTCTCCTTTAACTGAGTCATGATGCTAGTCCAACTAATGCATTTGATACAATGCATAAGTAACAGGAAGCTCTGGGAGCCAGAATGGTCCTAGGCCTGTTTATGCTTTGCTCCAAGTCAGTGCCCAGAGGAGGCCGATGCACCGAGACCACGAATGGGTGAACGATGGCTTTCGAGAAGGCCAAAGTTGCCTCTTTTAGGATTCTCTTTGGAACGGGAAGTATGACCTTGAGTTTGAACTATTAAAATATTTCTTCATACATTTCTGTCTGGTGTGCTGCTTTTGACAGCTGGTTGCAGTCATTTTGAAATGAGCATGGTGTCAGTGGGCTCCTCATTAAACCACACTGTCCATGCAAAATTGAGCTCTCAGTCTTGTAAGTTATTTCAAGATCACCCCCATCAGATTTGCCTGTGTTACACAACTCTGCCTGGCCCCAGTGGCTAATGAAGTAGGCCTCAAGAACAGTTCTACTTGCATCTGGAGCTTTTCAGAGTAACCGAGCCTGTTAACCCCATGCATCATACAATCAGTTAACAAAGGTTTTCTGGGCCTCTGCTCCGGACCAGGCACTGGGCCAACTGTGGAAGGCCAGCCAGAGCAGGACAGATGCGGGACCTCCCTCCCTGAGCTTCACCCAGGAACATAGGTCTCCTCCTGAAAGGCAGATGGTTTAGGAGACCATGCCACAACTCCAGGACTGCCCTATTATAAATCCCCAGAATTCACAGAGCTGCAACCACTCTCATTTATCCTGAGTCTGAAATAAGAACTAGACCTTCAGTCTTAGCGAATTTGAATGGGCTCCCTCAATATGTCTGTGAACAGATGCAGCTGTAAGCCTGTAAGGCAGTTTTCTCTCCAGGAAAGTTTTCTGAGAATTTGGAAAGCTGGACCCAAGGAGACTGTTGCAAAACCTCAGCTTAGAAGTGTGCACAGGCTTATAGGTCCCTGTGGTGAGCACACATGAAAGGTGAAGCTGTTTATATAAGAGCTGAGGGTCAGAGGCTGTGTAGTGGTCAGTAGTGAGAATGGCCTTGTGTGTGTGGAGGGGAGTCCAGGTCTCCAGAGTGAAAGCTTAATCTTTCCTCCACCAAGAGGTGTGTAGGTCCACTTTGTATCTGGAAAGGCCGTGGAAGGCCAAAGGCTCAAGCTAAATGCAGGAGCAGTGCTGTGAAGCAAAGCCTGCATCAGTACTATGGCCTGACATAGCACAGGCTGCCCTTTGCTCTCTGCTTGGACGATGTTAGAGTCAGGCAGGAACCAACAAGTCCTCTCATTCTTAATGAGCCTTAGTTCCCCTCTGTGTAAAAAAAGGACTAATAATAGTGCATCCCTGGCACTGTCATGGCACATGAACGTGAAGTAAATACTGACGCTCTTGTTTTCATCATTAGCCTGCCACGGTTCTGCCCGTCAATGACAACCACATTAGCTAATATCCGCCTGGTGCTATGTGTCAGACACTGTGCTGCACATTTGCTATTTATTAGCTCATTTAACTTTCAGAGCAGTTCTGAGGTTATGTATTTGCCTTTCATTAAGAAGAACTTGACACTCGAAGGCACCTTGCTGTAGCCGTACAAGTAGTGAATGGTGACTTGAGCCTGAGAGATCTGAGCCCATGGCATCTGCACAGTGCTGCTGGGCCACCGTCATCTTTTTAAAAACACAACTTTGTCCTAAGTGAATCCTAAGTACTATTTTGCCCTTGCCCCATCTGAGCATTGGGGAAAATGCTCATATCTGGTGGCAGAGTAACGTGTTTTTCTTGGAACGTGTATGGTAAGGGATCCCACTGGGTTAACGTGCTAGCCTCCAGCCGTGCATGGTAGCAGTTTGGTTGGCTTTCACAGTGCTGGGCAAGTTTCAACAGATGCCACTGTGTTCAGGGCCAAGCCCTGCTGAGGCACAGCAGGGGAAGTGTCTGGAGAATGGCCTTTAGGTTCGAGGTTATTGTGAAAGCTCCCTTCTCCAAGGGTGGTCATCACCATTGGTCCAACAGCACCAGCTTTTCCAATTGTCTGTGCTGACTGCGATCACTGGGAGGGGCTGCCCGAAGCCCTGGACTAAACAGTATAAGATGCACTGCAGGAGAACTGATGTCTGGGTCTTCTTAGTCGCTCTGACCATGTGATGATTCTGGGTGTGGCCTGGCATTGGCTTTTAGCTAGGAGAGCAGAGCCCCAGGTTGCCCAACATTTTCAGGGGTGGTTTGAGACAGGGTCTATGCATTCCAGGCTGGCCTGTAACTCACTGTGTAGTTGGGCTTACAGATGTGTGCCACCACCCAGCACCAAAAAGTACTACTATTCCGCAGCTGCCCCAAGTGCCTTGCAGCCCGCCTGAGGGCATAGGAATCCTATACTCGCTCCTGCTCTGACTGTAGCAGCTTCACACTTGGACTTTATTACAGATGACTTCATTCTGCAGCCTCTCTGGATGATTCCACACGTCTACTCCTCCATTATGCCTGTGAGGGACCCCTCCCATCCTTGAGACCAAACAGGAAGTCTGACGCTGACCATGCATGAGCCCACTGTTTTTCCTTCCTTAGTGGGTTCGGCCTGTGTGCTATTACCCTTTGTGCCTCAGCGTACGTCTTAATAAAGCCTCTCCTGGATGGAATAGTCCCATTTGTCATTTCTAACTAGAGTGGAGCATGATGAGCTGGTAACACCAAAGGGCACTGGTACTGATCGCCACCCGCAGCCAGTTCTGGGACCACTAACAGCAGCTAGTGCAGCGAAAGACAGAGCAAAGAATAGGTGGGAGCCGTGATCTCCAAGGGCCCAAAGAATTCAAAGAGTTCCCGAGGCCTGCCAGTAGCTTCTGGCTCAGAGCAGCAAGGAAGGCCATTAATACCAAAAGAACTGGTGGCTGCTGGCATTCAAAACTCAGGGCTGTTAGCACTAAAAGAGCTGTGCTTTGCCAAATCATGATCTCTGCATGAACTGAGCAAGAGTCTTCAGATGGTTGGTATATCTTACAAGCTGGAATAGGGACCCTGCCCTCTAGAGCACCCAGAGGGAAAGGGCGGACAAAGGTGACCATTGTCAGCCTGCTCAAGAACCAAATTGCATTTGATCTCCATCTTACGAGGGGCTAAGAATCCCTGTTCACACCTGGGTGAATCGAAAGAGCAGCCAAGTCAATCCTGTTCTCACTGTGTCCATCTTGCTCCTCCCTTCCAGCCCAGAATCAGCTTAAAACAAGAGTCATTTTGCCACCCTCCATCAGAGCCATCTGCTGCAGGACGGGGAGTGGTCCCTGTTCTGAGACCGTTCTGAGCAGTCTCTCCTTGTGCACCCTGCTGCTGGTCTAGAAGATGGGGCAGGGGTTTGTGTTGGGACACATTCTGAGGGCCCTGGCTGGCAGGCACGGTAGAATTCTGTGCATGATCAGAGGGAGGGCTGTGAAAGTGGGTTTCATGCCCATGAGCTGACCCAAGGGCAGGTGAGAAATGTTCATAAAAGGAATACAGTGGATGAGGAGTAAATGCTGCTCTAAAATGAATATGCATGAGGTATTTACAAGAGGCAAAAGTACCATTGCTGGGAATGTCTGCGCCTGCACCTCACGAGCAAGTTGCATACATACCTCATTTAGCTCCCTCAGTAACTCTAGGGAATAGAAACTGTTTTCCTATTTTATGGATTAGGACATTAAGGCCCAGAGAGACCTTAAATAACTTTTCCCAGATCACCCACCTGGTGACTGGTGGCGGTGTGTGTGTGTGTGTGTGTGTGTGTGTGTGTGTGTGTGTGTGTCTTTGAGGCAAACTATAGAGATGGGGGAATAGTATGGGGACAGTGGGGGCCCAGGAGCACACTGATGAACCCTGCCCGGCCCCCAGGCTTTGGGGGATCCAGTTTAAATACTTCTAGGGATTCACAAGCCCCTTCCTTACTGGGTGCCTGCCTTCCCATTCCACCTCTGCATTTCCCCCAGAACTCGGTTCCCTTTCTCCAGTAAGCTGTTCTTTTCCTTGTATCTGGACCCAAACACACTGTTCCCTCCTCTCTGCATGGAAGCCCTTCCAGCTGCTTTGCCATCTCTTCCTCCAGGACCAGAGATCTGCCCAGTGGGCTTCCCTACCAGGAGCTTGCAAAGTTTGCCTTGTGCCTTGTGAATCATGACTGTTCTTTCCTGTGGGGCTGTAGTCTGTGGGGCCATAATCCAAGGGGACAGGGGCATGAGGAGATTTTCCTTAAGCTTCTGATGGTTCACTGAAATGAAGTGAGGATAGATGGACTAACAGGAGAAAAAGCATTCACATTGATTAACATACATGTGAGCCTGAGAATGTGAACTATAAAATGAGAGAGGTTCAGGTGGTTGAGGCTTAAATACTCTCTTCTTAGGGGAGGGCGCTGTAGACAATTTCAGAGTAGTAAATGATTTTTAGGAGAAATGAGTGGGTCCAAAGAGCAGACAAAGGTCCGGGAAAAAGTTCCCTTGCATTGTGTGGAGGGGACAAGTTACGGGAAGGTGAGGGGCACAGCTGCACTGTCGACCAGATAAAGCCTCCCAGGTTACCTCCTGGAGCTGCCCCCAGGAGAGGAGATGACAGGTCTGCAGGGTGTGGTGAGGACTCTAATCTTTGGTCTCTTTTTTTCCAAGTTATTCGATGAGATTCTATAACACTTCTGGGAATGGAACTTTCCTTCATCAGATAAGGGAACTTGAGAGAAATTTAAAGCAAGCCTTTATCTACTCTCAGGAAAAGAAAGAGCTTCAAAGATAATCCAGACATGCGGGAGCTGCAGGTCAGAGGGAGGTCAGAGAGACCTTGGTTCTGAGACATTTTCTCTAGCTCAGCATGTCACAGCACCCTGCTTTGGGGCATTGTTTCCCAGTGCTAACACGGCCAGGCCAGTCAGTCTTCTCCATTGGGACCACTGGTGCAGGTGGGCAGAGGGTGTCAGCCAGTGGGGATGAGCTAAACAGATGATGTGGCCTGCGTCTCCCTGGATGGGCAGATTTCCTGTAAATTCAGGAAAGGACCACCCTGGCACACACTCTAACTGAATTCACCTTTGTGACTAGCCAGTTGTGTGGGGCACATGGGGTGTGGGGACCCGGAGAAGAGGTGGGCTGGGTGAGGGGAGGAGGGCTAGAGTAGCAGGAGGCAAATGGGGCAGCTGGGGGCCTCACTCAGGTGCAAGTGGGTGGTTTGTGAAAGCATCTGAAAGACCTCAATCGCTGGGCCTGGACAGGAGGAGGCTTCAGGGTGGAGACGGGGAACCTCCCAGTCTACA